CTCAGCTGAAGGATGAGTCCTGACATCCCTGGCTTGGCCTGGACTGTTCTTGCTCCTCCTTGAGACTCAGAGCCTTCATCCTGCGGTCAGCTCCCAGGAGCAACTACCCCTTGCCCGAGTCCATCCCTGTCCACTGTGACCACGTCATTAGAGGAAGTGTCCTTCCTGTGATGAGCACTGCCCGGCACTGCCTGAGGGTCTGGCACTGTGGACATAGCAGTGAGCACAGCGCGGTTTCCTGCCCTCTCACGGTGCTGACACCCTAAGGAAAGAGATGGAAACACACTAACAAATACTTGGAGAAAAAGCAGGGAAGGGGCTAAGAAATGCTAGAGGATGATAAAAATTCACAGTGGGTGGTCCAGGAAGAGGTTGGTAAGGGTGACTGATGGAAGTGAAGGGAGCCTTAGCACACCCTAGGAAAAGTGATCTAGGCAGAGGGCAAAGGCCCTGAGATAGAACATGTCTCACTAAGAGCAGAAAGGCACTGGCTGGAGCACAGACAGAGGAGATAGCAAAGGTCAGGGAGGTGTAGGGCCATGCATGCAGGAGCATCAGGGTCTGGTGACATTTGACAGGACTGCCGGTTGTTACGCAGTGTGAAGAGTGGAAGCAGATTATACAGGGGCATTCAGACCATCCAGATGAGGCTTGGCTGAGGGGAGACAATGAGCAGATTCTGGACATAGTTCCCAGGTCAAGTTGATTGGATTTGCTAGTGGACAGGAGACAGAGTGGTTTTGGGGCTGAGCACCTGGAAAAATGGCATTGCCTTTGCGGAATTTCATCTTGCTTCCCTCCTTCCAAAGATGCCTCTTTTGCCCTCTTCCCACTTTGACGTTATTCAGAGGCAATGAGCAAGCGTGTGGTGATGCAGTCTGTGTCTCTGTCTTAGATATTTTATAACCTCCACACCACCATGCCTCAGGGAAGCAGGAGGAGATCCATTTTGACTTTTAATGATAATAGTATGAATGATTAGAGCTAAAAGTGATTACTGAGTGTCAAAGTGCCAAGGTCACCTGAAGTGCTTCAGAGTCACCTGAAGGCTACTCTTCATGCCTACCCAGCAGGCTTTACCGTGTTGCTATTTATTAAATTAAAAGCTTAATCATTTTGATCCCCAATGATGACATAGTGGCAATAAGTGTTTCCAAAGGCATAATTCAACATCTTTTTAACTCTGGAGTTCACAGCAAGAGTGGTTGGGGCACAGTGGGTCTTTAGGCTGGAAAACAGGCTATATTTCTAGAATCCAAGGACTAAAAAGGAACAGATTTGAGAAAAAGTATTACGGAAGAAAATAAACTTTAAATTTTTAAAGATTAAAACTGTTCTCCCCAATCTACTATTTCACAAAACACACACACACACACACACACACACACACACACACACACACACCCGTGCATGTGCATATGCTTAAAACTAAAGATGCCCTATGACCTAACATGCATTAGGTCACACAGCAGGCTTCTTAAGACTTGCATAGATATATTCAGCATTAGATATAAAAGCACGTGAGACAGAAGGGTACGACTACTAAAACACAATCTCTGCAAGTTGAGTAACACAGGATTAAGTAAATTTTAAAAATAATTTCCATGATAAATGTCAGAGATCCAAGTCACAACTGTCCTTGAGCATCCACTGTGCTGGGGACCAAGGATGAGTCCACTGGGTGTCCACGTGAGCTGTCATGCAAACAGATGGACTCAGGCACGGTGCTCAGGGGAGAGGTCTGAGCAGACAGGAGCATGGGATTTCTTAGCTCATCAGCGCTGCTGGGAAGATGCCCTGGGAGGGACTTGGAGGCAAAAGGATGACAGGGTTGAGAAAGGAAAGCTCTACATACCATGAGGAGGTGAAACAGGCCCCTCTTTTAACCTGTTGGAGTGGGGTACTGTGGCCTAGTCAGTGATGGAGAAAGTAATAGGATATGTGGTGATGATGTGTGAAGCCACTGAGGTGGGTGACGCCGGCAAGGGGGGACACTCAGGGCAAGAAGTGAGTCCTCTGTCAGGCAAAGGGGCTGCCATCACACCAAGCCTGCTGACCCTCCCTCCTCTGCCCAACAGCTGTCTGAGCCTTCTAGGCCTGGCCTTGCAACCCTGGGAGGCTCTCCAGTCGCTCCAGGCTCAGACATCCATCTTTGTAGTGCTCCTCAGCCCTGACTATCCCCACCTCAGCACGAGGCCTTATGCTGTTATCTTGGGGTTCCCCAGAAGGGCAGGACAGCAGTGTGCCCCACTGGGATCCTTGTATCTTTTGGTTCAGAGCACTGATAGGTACTAACTAAACAGATCTTCTGTGATGGGTTGACTAGTTGATCTATTGCTGGAAGGAAGGTCAAGGAAGTGAGGACAGAGGCTGATCAGAGAGAGAATGTGTGTCTGTGAGGATGTTGGACCACACAGTATTTACTCTTTCATCTCTGGCTTAGTGATTTATTATGGCTAACTGGGTTTTAACATGGACACATCTGGAAAACACTGTTGAACAAAACTAGCAGGTTACAGATGCACACTCAACAGACTCAGACGTTTCAGGTTCTCCCAAGCATAAGTAGACTGTAGCTATGGACCGGACTTAGGTAGGCCCTGCGACTTGCTGCAGTGGTGGACAGGAACAGAAGTCCTCAGGCAGGAGTGTTAGGAGCCGGCACACAATGCACCCTTTGTCCCTTTTTTCTTTTTTGGCCCGTACTGGCCTGGATCCCCCTGTGAACCCAATGAACACCCCTACTGAACACCCTTCTCCAGAATGTACAAGAGTGAAAAATACATGTTCACTGTGTTACCAATGAAAAGAGGAACCGAGTCTGAGGCAGAGCCTGTCCTGACTGCAGACAGTGGGCCTGCAGGGTGGTTTTGGGGTGGGGGACATTTGGTCACTTGAGTAGAACAGGTGATTACATGGTTGGTAGAATGGATGGTGAATATTCCAGCTCCATTCATAAAATGCCAGAAGCACCCCTGATATGTGACAAGTAAACACAAATTCCCTCTCGCCCTGACATTTGTATATACTTCTGGGGCAAATCCAGCCTGAAGAGAATCAAGAAGGAAAAGGAATCACCAGAAGTGAGGGTAGGAGGCAGAGTAGGTGCCAGAGTGGGACAGCTGCCTGGAGGACAGAGGTCCTCGTGGGCAACAGGACGTACACTTCCATGTGTCCAGGTCGGCATGACAAGTGAGAAGAGTCAGGATCACAATTCCCACAGCTGATGGAGCAGAATGAGGGTCCCCAATCAGAGACAAGGCCATCAACATCTCCTCCCTGAGCTCCTGTGAATTTCCACAGGCCTCACAGGGTCCTGACTTCACAAAGGCGTTTCAACATCCCCCTCACAGATGAAGACGCTGAGCAGTGAAGGGGTCGGACAGAGGCAGGTAGGACCTTCCAAGGGGAGGGTGATTCTGAAACAGTAGATGGGACTAAGTGACAGCTGCATGGGACGTGGAGGTTGGGGACCACTGCCAGGCTGCATCAAGAAAAGGGACTCAAGTGCAAAAGCAGAGATGTCCAGCAGGCCTCTGGGCAGGGAGAGGGGTCTGCCTGTTGCCTGTTTAGAGCCTCAGGCTTCCCCAGTGACATGGGCAGCAGGAGGAGGTCTCTGGGAAGCAGGCTTCCAGGCTGGAGGTGCCTGTCTCTTCACGTAGTCACAGAATGCCTTGAGAGGCCAGCTCCGGGTCATCAGCCAACACAGCCCCTCAGAGGCCCAAAAACAGTCCCCGGCACAAGTGGAAGGAGGGCACATTACCAGGCACATCAGTCCTAGGTTCCAGTCTTCATCGCCTTTGAGTACCCAACAGCATGAGAACACAGAGACACACGAGGGCGCTCTAACCAAACAGCAGGAGTAGAAAACAGCCATCCCATTGAGAGAGGGTTAGCATGCTGAACTTTGGGCTAGTGTTCCTCCACGGAGGCACTCCTGGCACTTTGCAAAGCATGCTTCAGGGATATTTGCGGCCCCTGACTCCCTTCTCATCATTGATTACTGAGCCCCATCCCCAGTCCCTCTGCTCACAACTGGTGGCCTTGAGAGGTATAGCAGTCTCTACTCTCCCCTCCCAACCTCGCAGAGGACTCTGGCGCTTCCCACTTTAACCTCGTGCATTGACACCCTCGTGCATTGACACCCTTGTGCCTTAACACCTGCAGGGTGCTGCAGAATCAGAGTGACAGTGCTCCCACGTGACGTGACGAGCCGGGTTGGCTGAGGCTCACGGCGTTATGGTCCTTAGGAGGCCAGTTTTCCTCCACATCTTTATTCCCCAGGACTGTGTGGGACCAGGGACTATCCTGATCACACCAGAGACACAGACACAGAACCCCGAGACAGACTCTGCCACAGACACCCCAGAACCCAGGAGCAAACACAGAACACAGCGGGCACAGAACACTCCCACAAAACATGTCCAAAGCAAGGCACTCTCTACAGCCCCATGGCTTCACAAAGCGGTGAGTTCTAAAATGTGCAGATTGTGAGGTTTCCAAAAACAAGCACCAAAGGCAAATACCAAGGATGATGTTCAAAATACTCTGCAGCTGTGAGCCAGAGCCTGGCTATGTGTAAATAGGTGGTATGTGCCCACGAGCTCTGGGCCCCGCCAGCATCTCAGGGGCAGAGTCTGAGCCCTGGTGGGAAACATGGCAGAGGGCTGCATGGACAGGAAAGAGGTGACGCCTGCGGAACATGCATCAAAGGAACTGGTAGTGTAGACAGAGCTAGGAGGCGGGCAAAGAACCCGGCTGAGGGCGTGAGCAAGTTCAGTGCTGCAGGAAGACCAGAGCCCTCCAGGTCTTCCATAAACACCCAGCCAGCATCACATATTCCCACAGGCATTCTCCAACAGAGGCAGCCTTCAAGTCTCCAGAGGGTGGCGCACTAGGGTACCTGTAGGCACAGCCCTGCTGTGAGATGCTCGCAGTCTGCTGGCAGGCACCAGGAACTCTCATCCAAGGGAAGCAGACTGGAAACCAGTGAGTCTTACCCTCCTTCGAAGATTTTGATCCTCGCCGGCTCCGCTCTCTTGGAGGTGGGAGCGTCTTCCTCTGGCTTCCCTTGCTTCTCTTCTTCCTTCTCCGCTCTAGCTACCTCTTTCTGGCCTTCTGGGGAAACCAGTGACGGGAGATGCACCTGGCCCACCGCAGGGATGACAAAATCATTGGCGGTTAAGTTTGCATTCTCAACTAGGGGGGTCTTAATGGTGGTCTCCTTTTTGAAGCCCCGCTCCCCAGATCTCTGCCCCTGAGAAAGTGCTATCAGCCTCAAATGACAGAACCCAGAGAGGTAGTTTCCTCCATGCTGGGACTCTGGCCCAATCTTTCAGGATCACCTTTCCTCAGGAGATGGATTTGGTCTTGGTCTTTTGCACTAGTCTGGGAAATCCTGGGAATAGGTCCTTATCTTGCTCTCCTTGGTCAGCTAGGTACCCAAAACAGGGCCTGCTTTAGCAAAGATGCTTAAAGATATTGAACGAATAACCCAGACACACACCTGTAATCCCAGAACTCTGAAAGCCTGAAGCAAGAGGACCAGAAGTTTGAGCCCAATCTGGGTGACTTACTGATTTAGTGAGACTTCATCTCAAAAATAATAAATTAAGAAAAGGGCTGTATATGCAGATGCAATGAAAATACCTTAGACTCTATCTCCAGTACCAAAAAGTTTTTTTTTTGGAACTAATAGAGCCTCTACTGTGTTTTTGAACTGGTCCAATTCTCATTGATACATCAAAATGCCAAGGTCACCCAGCAAGATAAGGGCAGAGCTGGGAGCAGAGCACAGGTCTCCTGTTTCCAGGACCCCAGTTCTCCTATGCTAGTGCCAATGGCTTAGAGCCCACCAGGCACCCACCCCCACCCTGGGTCAGACCCAGAGAGGCTATGAAGGCTCTGGGCTGTTGCTCCTAAGGTTCATTCTATTTTCAGAGCTGTGAACCTCAAAGAGACCTGACTCCACGCAGAGAGTTGACACTGACCTGGTGCCTCCCACTATCCCAAGAACATTCCCTCTACTACTTCCAGGGACAGCAGGGAGTGGGCACACCTTGTGAAGGGGACAGTGATACTATGCTAGGGGCTGCGGTCAGTGGGGTTGAGGAAAAAGGCACCTGGCTGGGAACCAAGAGTCTCAGTTCCAGCACCAGATAGGCTGCTGCACGCTGAACTGCCCTTGAGTGGGTTACTTCACCTCTTCAGCATTTGGAGTGTGATGGTTTAGAGTATCTTAAAGGTTCATTCTAGGGCCAACTTTTGTGTCCAAGTTACCTTCATGTAATTTCTTAAGAATGGAAAGTCAATAATGGAAACCAAACAAGACTCTAAGATGGTTCCTTGGCAAAAGACAGTGGACGAAAGCCTGGGTTTCTGGAGTGTGCCATTTCCACTCTCTCCTGGCCTACAACCTAGCCAGTCCACACGGTGACAGGCTGTCACAGGTCAAAGGATGGCTTCTCCTTCATGACTTGCTGTGACATCTGGACCAAGCTGTGGAGGTCCAGCTTTGTCCATTGCTTTGCTGGCAATGGATCATTCTACCAGGAAACATAGTGTTGCAATTGACTGGGGGACTTGAGATCCATTTTGACTTTTAATGATAATAGTATGAATGATTAGAGCTAAAAGTGATTACTGAGTGTCAAAGTGCCAACAATGGGTAATTATGCATATTTTAAGTCATTTTATTTTCTCCCTACTCTTATGAAATAAGGATTATTACTATCCCTTTTTACAGATGAAAAAAGATACAGAGAGGTTGAATAACTGACCCAACATCATACAGCTTCTAAAGCAAGGTAGTTGGATTCAGATTTGGGCAACTTGGACTTGGATTCTCATTCTAAACCTTTTTTTGACAATGATATGATTGTCAAAATGATCCCCACGGAAAGAAGAGGGAGAAACTGAAGGAAAAGACTGTGGCTATAAAATGCAATCTTACACAAACCTGGGTTTCTCTAGAGCTTATACAAAGATAAAATACTTAGGTTCTAATTCAGATATGATAGGGTCACCTAGACTTGCACAAAGGTGACTAGGAAAAAATTCAAAATGCTAAGAAAAATCAAAGAACATTTTCATAACTGACAGCAAATGAAAGCCATAGAATAGAGAACTCCTTAAAGCATGATCTAAAGATAGATTGTGCTTATAGAAAGTGGTAAGCTTCTTTGCTCCCTGCTGGAGATATGCGAGCAGAGGCCAGAGAAACAGGTGCAATTGTACAAAGTTCTCAACTTGTAGACCATGCAGTTACATTAACGCTCTAGTGTGGTGCACTTTGGTAGGAAACCAAACTGAATATTCTAAGAGCCCCTTTTAGGAAAGCAGCATTATAAACAAATGTTGGTCAAATCTAATGAAGCCGAGTGACACTTTCTTTTCCTTAAATGTCTCACACCAGTCTTCATTAGGGATGAGAGGGAGTCTCGGTTGTGTGAAAGAGTTTGGAGTGAGATGTAATTTTGAATCCAATCTCTGCCACTGACTGTGTGGCTTTATGAAAGTTACATAACATCTCTGTACTCTGATTTCTTTATCCACAAAATGGGTGATTTGCATCCTAACTTTCAAGATGATTGTGAGGATGAAAGTAAGGTTTTGTATCACACCTTAAACATGGTAGGTGTCCCAAAAGTTTTAAGTAGGAATAGAACTATAATAGCATCTTAGCAGGAGCATCCTTAGCTAGGAAGAGATAAGAGAGAGCAAGCAAATCAGTGCAATGTTTATTGCAAAAATGAAAATCTTGTTCAGGGATGTTGACAAAGACATCTAAAAAATAAATTTGGAAAACAGTTCTTTGAAGAATATTCAACTGAGCTAAGGATAAACCCAGTGTACAACATTCACTCAGTGATAACAGAGGAAAGAGATGTAGGAAGTTTACAGATCACAGGCTTCCTGATTGACTACAATGCAAATTTAGTTTAGGGAATTTATTTTTGATTTGGTCAAAGCAGCTGGTTGGCAGGTACACTAATGGACATCTTTAAATTTGCAATCATCTTTCTTCAAATAATCAGAAGGAAAATAGACTCTTTAGAGTCAGGTAGATCTGGGTTCAATTTCAGGTGTGTAAATATTTGTGATTGTCCTTGACTTCTCTCAGTCTCTGGCCCTTAGTTCCCCATCTATACAACGCAGAATGTAATGCTGTCTCACAGGTGAAAGTGAGCATGGGTTGGACTTGATGCCCAGTACAGGGCCTGGCACAGGGAGGCTGCTAACAAAAAGACCTATTGCTATTCCACAACTGCCAGGTCAGCACAACACATTATGGCCTGAAGTCTCAGAGTATGGAGGTGTCTTCTGTCTAACACAAATCTAGAATGATTGAATTTTAAGTTTATTGAGCATAATGGACCAGTTCATTTAATAACTTCTGATATAGCCAGGAATAAATATGAGTCCTTAGTGAGGGCCTAATACTATTCCAGAGCACAGATGGGTCCAACAGGGAGTAATATTTGTCCCTATAGATAAAGAAAGATGTTGAAACTTGAATCCTATTTGCCATCTTACTCAAAAAAGAAGTGATTGTGTCAAATTCTAGGATGTCTGGAAATGGGACAATATTAAATGATACTAGAAAATGGAAACAGCCTAGATAGGGAATTAAAAAAGAGGAAAAAACTAATAAGACAAGGGAGAGCCATAAAATAAAGGATGTATAGAAAGTTCTATAGTTGCTATAGGCAGCCCCATCAACCAAGGTTTCCAACTCTTGTCTTTTAGAGAATCATTTTTTCTTTGCTGATACTGTATCTTTGATTTTATATGGAACTTCATGACAAAGCAGAATCAATTTATAGGGATGTATCTATTCCAGTAGTGTGAGGGGCACACTGATAAAGAAACTCAAACATATTTCCTTGTAAAGTGACCAGTCACAGTTGCAAGAGAGAAAATCTGCCCCCTCCTTGAAGACAGTGTGGCTTTAAAAGCTCAGCAAGAAATTCTGACAACTGGTGATGAGACAAACAACATTGAACTTACCTCTGTCATGCGGGGCTTGCGGGAGCTCGATGGCACAAGCCTTCCTGTCTCAGGATGCGGAGCTGTAGCCATGGTGTATGTCTCTTTGCTCACCTTCTGCTTAGACCTCAGGAGGGACAAAGCAGCTTTAGTGGAAACCCCTGGAAGGTTGGGGTTGTACAAACTTATGCACCAACCAGCGTAAACAGAGGACCTCCTATCTGCATGCTGGATGTGATTTGGCTTAATGTAGTTTAAATAGCACCAACTGACATTAGTGGTCGTGTGGAGGCTGGGGAACTGCAGTACCTTCTTTGAGTCCGTACCTTCTTGCAACTTGGCTGGTCTGGGGGACAGAGGCAGAGAGCTGGGAGGTACAAGGGGAGGAAGGTCCAGTTGTTCCTTGGAATCTTCTTTCTTCACACTCAGTGGGGGCAACCCTCTTCGGTGAGGTTTGCCAGGTGGCTGAGCATACTCCTTCAAAGCTTCTGAGCTTGGGGCTGTCCCATGGGGCAATGTGGGCTGAGAGAGGGTAGGAATCTCCTTTGGATCAGTCGGATCCAAGGACAAGTTGGACGGTGTTTCCAGGTCCCTCCTACCTTGGCCCTGGCTTCCCAGGTGGGATTTCTCTGTCCTCTTCTCATCATCTGTACTGGTCAGCACTACGCTGCAAGGTTTCACGAGTTCAAGCTTGTCATCTGCCTGGGAGGCCTCTTCCTCCTTCACCCTTTTTTGCTGCTGGGTTTCCATGGTAAGCTCAAGGCTGCCAGCTGGTGAAAGGACTCGCTTGCTTCCTCCTGCCGTTGATGAACTTTCCTCCAAGCTTGAGACACCTTCTGATGACAGAGACATACCTTTCCTCTCAGGCAACGTCACAGGCACTCTCAGGTATGGAGTCTGGAAACCTCTGCTTTGCTCTTCACTTAACCCAGATGGTCCAGGTCCTGCCTCATACATATCTGACCTACACACAGTCAACCCCTTGGATAGAGGCTCCTCACTCTTGGAAAGAGGTGCACTGGTTGAACTGCATTGGGATTGTGTGACCAAGATCTGAGAAAGGGTGGTGTACATTGCAGTCCCATAGGATGGCATGTTGGTCTGAATGCGGACGGGCACAACCAGGGACTCCATGGCATCTGGACAGGTGGGCAGGGCCAGTGGTAGGGCTGATGTGGGTGCTGAGGAGCTGGCTGAAGGAGCTGTGGGTGGCAACTGCATGCTGCTGCTGTGGCCTGTGCTGCAGGAGGGGCCAGGAGATCCTGTTGCCAGTGGGGCCAGGCTGGTTTTGACTGGGGGCAGATGACTTTCCACATCACTGGGGAGCTGTAGTGCAAACTGGGATTGCAGAGGGAGGAAGAAGCCAGAAGAGAGTGCTGAGGAGGCAGGATATGGCACAGGGAGAAAGGAAGGGGGCTGCCGGAAGGGGATACTGGCAGGGTGGGGCAGCAGCTGGGGGAGATGAAGCTGGCCTGGGTGCAGAACAGTGGGTTGGAGAGGAAGCGGTGGGGCCTGGAATAAGGAGGGAGGGAGAGGGGGCATGGAGTATGGGGAGGAGAGGAGACTAGGCATGGCCTGTGTGGAGAAGAATTCCGAAGACTGTCCTGGCTCTTGCTGCAAGAGGTGCTGGAAAGAGAAGAGGGAAACAGGTGGGGGCAAGTATGGTTTGTCCTGCAGGGGGAGCTGGGCAACAGGGTGGTGGAGCACCTGCGGAGCTTCTGTGTAGGGTGGAGTGGACCCCAGTGGGGGCCTGTCTTGCACCTGGCTCTTGCCTCCTAGGTACCCACTGTGCAAGGTGGCTGCTGAGGAGATCCTGGGCAACAAGCTTTTGGTGGAAGGTTTGCTGGATGAGGGCTGGGGTTCTTCAGTGTCCTGTCTTCCCTTGGGGGTGGCCTCTGATTCAGTTTCTGGAGGCCTGCTCAGAGAGGCCTGTCTCACCAAAAAGCATTTTCTTCTTTCTGGCAGGGCCACTGGGGCTAGGGGAGCTGCTGGGGCTGGGGCAGAAGGGCCTGTCAAGGACAAACTGCCATAGTCAAAGGATTTGCTGCGTGTTTCAGTCATGTGAGCAGAATGGGAAATGTTGGGGCTCTGCTCTGATGCTGACCTCCGCATCTCCCGAGCATGTGGGTGGTGGCTGGGGACAGTCAGCATGTGGGTGCCCAAGGGCTTGGGGCGTATGTCAGACGAGGGCCCGGTGGCCTCCACTTTTCCGTGCTCATCTCTGTCAAATGAGGCTGAGCGACTGGACCCACTTAGAGAGATACTGCTTTCCTGGCTTGGGCTTCGAGACAGAGGTACAGATGACTCGAAGCTAGACTCCCCTGAGGACTGGGCCATCTCTGCCAGGCGCAGCCGCTTCTTCTTGGGTGGTAGCTTCTCAGCAGGGAGTTGGGCAAGTGTCTGGCTGCGCTGGGGCCACTGGAACTCCTCTGTCTTCTCTGGTTCCTTTGGGGGTGGCTCGGGCTCTGTATCAGGACGATCAGGCTCTTCAGTCACCAAGATCTCAGGGACCTGGATGTTGGGCTGGCGGACCAACCTGGGCTGCAGGGAGTGAGCTGAGCGTCCTTGTGGGGCAGAAGGTGGGGATGAAAACTGGGCCAGAGTCTTGTCTTCCACTTCCAGGCCACTGGGCTGCTCAAGAGGGTCAGATTTCTCAAAGGAGCTGGTGTGCTGGATGACAGATATTTCTTTGGACGTTGTTCTCCTCTCCTTCCCTGATTCTGCCCCAGACCCTGGCTTGAGAGTCCTTGGCTGGAAGCCCGTGGGTCCCTCCAAGGAGGGCACTGATTTACCTGGTTCTGCTGGTGACTTGGTGGACTCTAGGGGAAGGTTCCGAGCAGTGTCAGATGGCCCAGGGCTGCCAAATTGACTTTTTGTAGACTCAAAAGCAGGCGGCTCTTCCTCATCCCCAAGACTCTTTTCTTTCCTTCTCTTCCTTAGTGGAGTGAGCTCCAAGGTGGTCCCCAGTTTATAGTGCATCATCTGGGACCATGGCTCATGTTCTGCCTGACTCTTCTCTGTTTCTGGAGTTGCATGAGTACCTACAGAGAGCGGCTTTGCAATTTGGAGCTCTGAGCAGTAGTACTTTTTATGCGCTTCATAATTATCCCTTTTCTTGTACCGAGCACCGCAGATGGTACATTCATAGATCGCCCCTTTCATTTTCAACCCTTTCTTGGACTTTTTGGTGAGTTCACTTTCCTTGGGTTCCAGATCGTCAGACGGCTTGGAGGCTGTGTCTTTGCTACTTGGTCCAGGTTCCTCGGCACTGTACTCACTTCCCAAAGGCAGTTCAATGGCTGGCTGGCGCTTCAGCATCCGGGGGTGGGAGGTAAACACTGGACTGCTGTGGCTAGGGGCCTCGGAATCAGGGATGTGGTCATCGAAAGAGTAGCTACCACGGAAGGTGTGGTGTGGGGTGCTGATGGTACAAGTGGCCGAAGGCATTGAGTGGCTTCTCAGGAGAGGAACAGGGGTGGTTGTGGTGGGTGGGTGCTGGAGGCTCAGCAGTGACTGCTCTGGCTTTGTCTTCTCACCATGGGATGACAAGGGCTCCCGGTAGAGGCTGGATTTGGGGGACTCCATGCTGCTGCGCCTGGTCAGGGAGCTCCTCCTTGGTTTCACACTGTCAATCTCGCTGGTGTCAACCACGGCCTCATTGATGGTGATGAGCTTTGTGATGTGCTCAATCACCTGGGTCCGGGGTACAGACAAAGGTACCAGGCTGGGCTTGTCTTCAGTGGACAGGGGCAGAAGTGGCTGGGTGGAGGTGGCCGTCAGCATGGCGGTTCGCTGCCCAATCCTCCCACACTTGCCGAAGATGATCTCTGCATAGGACTTAGCATTGGTGTTTGGGGGGCTGACCTGCTGCTCGGCACTCTCAGAGCGTGAGAAATACCCAGATTCGGTGCTGCCTTTGCTGCCTGGGCTCAGAAACGCCTGTTCATCAATCACCTTCTTTCGCTCACTTAGGCGGAGAGCCAGCTTCTGCTTAATTGTATGGGTGTCTTCAGGTTTATGGCTCAGGGGATGCTCGGATGAGGGTTCTGCAAATGGAGTGGGGTCCTCGAGTGATGGCGCAGTGCTGGATTGGGACAGAGAACAGCGTTCATGGCTGGAACCATGGCTCCCCGAGCTGTATACACCACTGGAAAGGAGTGGGTGCTTAGGCCTTGGGGAGAGCTCTGCAGTGGGACCGGATGTGGTGCTGATTTCCTCTTCAGAGTCTGTGCTTTCTCCCTCAGTGGGCTCCTCAAACTCCTCCCCAGGGATCCTCTCCATTTCCAGCCCTGGGGGATACATCTCACTGCCCACTCCTGAGGCCAGGCCAGCTTTGATCCGGTGAGCATGGGACTTCCTGTGCTTGTAGAGGTTGCTCTTGGTCTTGAAGGAGAAGCCACAGGGGCCGCAGGGGTAGGGTCTCTCACCAGTGTGTGAGCGGATGTGCTTCTGGAGCACACTGGGTTTGGCGCAGGGCCGGCTGCAGTACTGGCATATGTACTTGCCCGGCTTCTGGGGTTTCCGTTCCTTCTTGTGTGCCTCTTCAGTAGGCTTCAGGGAGACCTGGGATGGACGGGGCACAAAGACCTTGGGGATGCCAGGCAGGTCCTCAGGAGGAAGGATGGAGGTGTGAGAAGAGAGGAGCTGGCTCTGTGGGTGAAGCCCAGGGGCCACAAAGGAGCCTGAGGGTCCAGGTCTCATGGGGTCGACCAGCTGCCACGTGGACCCCTCGAGGAGATGCTCAGGTTTGCCGGGTGACATGAATGCTGGTGTCAGAGGGTGCTGTGGAAGCTGCGAGATGTGGACGGAGGCTTCGATGGGAGGCCTCTTGGGGGCCTTCTGCTGCTGGCCCATCTTCTCCTGAGAGCCTTCCCTAAGAACTGATGAGGGGCCCGGGAAGGGCTGCGGGGCTAGGAGCTCCTGGGGGGTGCTCTCCTGGGTGGCAGCTGTGCTGCTGCCTGGGTATGGGATGCTGGAAGAAACACTGGTCTGAATGGCCTCGCCTTTGGTCAGCCGCTTCCGGGGACTTCCCTCTGCCTTCTTGATGCCCTTGACACTTTGTTCAGGATCCATGACCTTCACAGAAACTTCAGATGCTACTCAGGGAGGTTTGGGGCAGGCTGCATTTACAAATAATCCTCGTGTCCCAGGGAGGTGTCTGGTTTTGGCCACATTGGTCAAGAGCCGTGGAAGTCAAGGCCAAGACAGCTTTGGGATTTTTTTTTGCAAGTGTCACTGGCTGCAAGGAGACTCAGAGCAGGTCATCAGAGTCTGAGCTATTCATATTGGTGAGGCATGGCCCTCTACTCTGCAGACAGAAGGCACGCCAGCATTGCCTGCTGGGATGTCTGCCGTGAAAATGTCATGGAGGATGTCAATATTGCCATTGTACTGTTTCAGTTGGCAGTGGCAAGTGGCTCCCACAAGTCCCCTGTGTGCTATGCAAAAGGCTGAAAGTTGGAGACCTCTGTGTCCATGGCCCAGTCATCCCTGGTCCTTGCCCAAGATATATTACACTGGGTCCAGGGGTGGCTCGGTCCTGGTCTCTTCTTCTCTTTAGTTGTATGTTGGAGATCAACGGCCTCGGAGGAGAAATCACGCTCTTCTATGGGGCAAAAGTGCACACACAGAAATACACACAGAGGAGAAGAGTTATTGTGACATGTCAGAGCCTGGGCAGCTCATATTCAATATTAAAGCCAGCTAGCTGAGACTTCTAAAAGGTTGAAACTCAACCAGACCTTTCCCTAGCTTCATGTCCCAAGTGCTGCCCACCCCTCCCTCACCACCTCTGCATTAAAGTCCATGTGTTTCTGATACTTGGTTGTGTGGGGTGTTGGTGGCAGCAGGCAAAGCAGGTTCTGGGAAATGCAGGGCTGTCAGGTGGAGGCTTGGGTTCCCACTTCTGCTGGGTGGTGCATTCCAAGTGAGCTTGAGCACTGCAAGCCTCTGCTGCCTAATCTATAAACCTAGTAACAGCAACTCATACTTCAGCTGCAGTTTGGGGGTATGTTGGGGTCCAACAAGAAAACACTGTTGGATGAATTATGGATATTGCTGGGCTGATGCAAAAGAGCTCATGGCCAGTGAGGGGGAGTTTTCTCAAGAGTAGAACCTTTCTCTTTGGCCACGGATCTGGAAGTGTCCATGGTGGACCTCATTCATCATTTTTTATCCTGTTACAAGGGTGTCACACCTCACCACACCCCTCAGCCTGTTTTTGAGGTAAAGTTGTGAGCTCCTGCCACAGTACATGGGAGCTCACACTCTAACACAGGCATGGCTACCTGATTCTAACAAGCATCAAGAAGATGGCCTGGAAGCTTCCCCCAGCTTCATAGCATGTTTTTGTTTGTTTGTTTTGTTTTTTGTCTAGCCAGTGCCCCAGGGAGGACCTGGAAGTAGCTTAGAATGGGGACTGCTGTCAAATGGAGGGACATACGGACAGTACTGCTCTGAGTGGAGCCCCAGGTATGTGCGGTCTCCCTGGGCCAGCCCAGAATTGGAGAGTCTAGCCTTCCTTGGTTTGGTGCCTTCTCTGAGGCTCTGCACCAGGGGTGTGATTGGAATTTCAAAGCGGGAGGTCACTATGACTCTGACTTTTCCAACCACCTCACTTGCCAGGTTAGAACAGGGAGGACACAGAAGAGCGGTGGCCTAGTTATGATCCCAGGTTTTAACGAGGCAGGGCCAGCATCTGAACCCAGGCCTCCACAGCAGGATTTGTCTGCAAGCACCTACTCTGGTGTCTGTTTCTGAGGCAAAGCCGTCGGTGAACAGCTGGTGCTTTCGTTCTTTCTTCTGTAGGCACCCTGGCACCCTGATCCTGTAGCCATTACACGGCTACGGGGGAACCTTGGGGCGTCCCCCAAGAATCCTAGACTCCCTTGGTGCCTTCATCTTGCTTTTCATCAAGAGTTTGCTGACACAGACATGACAAGGCTACCCACTCATTTTCAGAGCAAGCTCGGAAGGCTATGGAGTGTACAAATCACGGTCTCAAATGGAGGACCTTGGACTTGTGACATGCAATGGAAGAGCAGATGATCCAATCTAGCTAAAAATGATTTATGTTCATTCCTTTTGTGATTTTTTTGTTTGTAGCTTGTGTCTACAAAGAGTTAAAACTCTTAAAATCGTATTTATGGAAGAATGACAACCTATAACTATCAGAAAATTATAAGAAAATAACAAATCACAACAAAGCACATGTAAATTGGACAGGAAGTTAAGATACCAAAAACACTACAGTATCAACTAGCCTACAGCATTTCTATAGTTTAGTCACACATGCATATAGAAGCTTCCTGGTAGCCAAGAAGAAAAGAGATGACATCCACTGTAGAGTAATATAGCCAGAAGGAATGAAGTTCCTTGCAAGGGCAGGAAAAATGGAGGAGAGAATCTGTGACTTCAATGGCATCCTGTTAGCAGATGTGCTAACTGATTTTTGTCAACAGAAGACCATGACTCAGCAAAAGCTATTCTTTAAGGGGTCAAATCCTTCTTTTGACTTAGGCAGAGGAGGAACCCTCTCAAAGCAGGCCAAGTATGGAGAAGGCTGGGAAATGTCACGGCACGACACCACAGTTAGCAGGGTGGCTGTATACAGTATCAGCCAAACTAGGACGCTTCTGAGGTAAAAGGGGCTCTACTAATAATTACGGGGAAACCACAGGAATCAACTCAGCCTATCTCAGGCAAATGAGGACGGACGGTTACCCCAGTCACCCTGTGATGGAAACAAGACACTAATGCTGTCTCTGGGAGTCTGCTAGCAACTCTGGACCTTTGCTATTTGGACTGAAATTGCATTACGGGTTCCTAGAGACTACTGTCCAGCCCAGTCCCTTCAGCTGACTGACGAGGAGACTGAGGGCTGGAGAGATGATAGGATTTGCTCTCATAACCACATCACAGCTGTGAAACAGCGGGGCAACCCTGTGTTTCTAGAGACCACAGAAGGCTGCTGTCCTGCCCCTGTCAACAATATTCTCTATGGCTCTGCACGGATGGGTCCTGCAGCCCACGGCTCCCTCCCTCAGGAGTCACAGGTACAGCCCAGGGACATTGCTGTGTCCACAGTGAGGAGATTCAAGGACTGTCTGGAGTCTGAGTTGCATCACTGGCCTTTCAGTTTGCGTTCGAGCTTTGCTGTGGCTGCTGGGTAGGAGAGATGGGGAGCCTGCCAAGGTGGGGGAACACATCTTGGTGCTACTGGCCCACCTCACTTATCCAAATCATGGTATGCAGAAGGGCAAAACCATCTAAATTCAGACCAAGTGGACACTGTGTGTGTGATCTCTGGGCTTGGCTGTGCCTCTGGGCCTGGCCACACCTGCATGTGTGCCAGGGAGGTGCAGGGAGGACTTTGGGTGCTGCATGTGGGTAACAAAGGGTAACTGTACTTACCGTTCCTATTGATTTTCTCAGGAAAGACTCTCAAAGCACCCCCAAACACTAGCTCATGCTAAGTGGAGCTTCTTCCAGTGCAGTGATGGGCTCTGTGGCATGACTTGGCGGTAAGATGGTCTGAGTGGAGCCAGCTGGCCAAGGAGGACTCTACATTGCATATCTTGAGGTGCTCCCTTTGCAGAGCTACCAGTTCCCCAGGGCCAGGTGGGAAATGCACAAGAGTTGGGGCTCAGGGCAATTCCAGGGCCAGGCAGCAGGGGCGGGGCACCAGAAGGAGACAGGTGACTATTGTATCATCAGGTGACTCACTGTCCCAAACTGCCTGCAAGGAGTCATTGTTTAGCCTCTGAGCTGTGCCTGGCATTTCTCCATGGAGGAGCCATACGGCCCCTCCTGTCAGCCACCAAAGCATAGAGAGGCCTGTGAGCCCCAGGCCAGCCCTTTGTTCAGCAGACATCGGGGTAGAGATGACCAGCTGACCCCTGGACTAGTGCTTTATGCCACCCTGCTCTGCCATGGTAGCATGACAGGTGGGAGGTGCTTGACACAAAGGGCCCAAGGAAGGACAGCTGCGGATGTGGATGCTGGTAAAACCTAAGTCCTCAGTCTTGGACAACAGTAGAATTTAGGAACAGTGCAAAGAGGTGCTGACTAGTTTCAACTCCTTCAGGAGGACCATACTATCTAATGGGATCATGCCATTAGGAACATAGCTCTTTCCTACTTTGCATAGTTCTGAGAGTATGTGTAAAATTTTAATATAAGCCCAAAGTGACAGAAAAATCTCTCTTCCAGGGATTAGTGGGGGCACCTATAAAAATCACCAGAGAAATGGAATCAGAGCTTCAGGATAAGAACAGCTATCCTCTGGTGGTGGTTGTAGAATTGCCACAGGGACCCTACTGCCTGTCGCTGAGGCCACAGACCCTAGACAAGTCTAGTTATATTTTATACAATAAAATATAAAACATAAAACCAACTTACAAGAAGAAGAATTTGAGCTTCACTGCCCACTGGTTAATATATGACTATTTTCTTTCCTTTCTAGAAGTTTCCATAGGCCTCATCACTGGAACAGTTCAATAGGGAAGAGAGCAGAGCTTGCTGGTGCTGGAGTCACAAAAACCTTGGGGCAGTGGTGAGTGAGGAAGGAGCCAAGAGGTTCAAGGTGAAGTGGCTTGAAGCACCTTCACATCCACGGGTTGGAGCACATGGCCTGTGTCCACGGTGGATGTCTTTTACCTGGGGAGGTGGGAATTGGGCCCTATCAGATGGGCAGTGCCACCAGTCCTGACAGGAGGCTAGCTAGAATGTGCTCCAGGCTCTGGCTGAAGCTTGGGCCATGAGGCAAGTGAGTCAAGGCTGAGGCAAGATGGGAACAAAGGCTGCTAGGTGAGAGGTTACAACACGTGCAAAGTACAGAAGGCTGGAATGAGATGACAGGGCTCCGGCACCCAGAGGGTCCAGGTGACAGCCCTATGCTGTGTTGGTGTTTCTGGGCACTGAGAGGTGCTTCCACACATTCTTGCCTGTGCCCCAAACTGCAAAGGCTCACCTGTGCCAAGTACACTCTCTAATAGACCTGTGGTCATGATTAAGGAAGCAGGGAGAGGCACAACTGTCTGCATGGGATGGTCAAAGGCAGATTGTTGGGCAGGACCAGGCTTTTGGGGCTGCTGGCCCTGCTCAACTTTGGCACTCACCCAGGCTCCCAAGGTCTCAGCTGGAAGGAAAAAGTTCTCTTTTAACACAGTAAGCCAAATAGTACTGCTTCCCTGAGAAGCTTGGATGTCTTATACTTCAGTGGAGCCTGGTCTGTACCGTAGAAGTGCATCAGCACCCTCCTGGTGAACTTCTCCGCCATGCATAGCACTGACCAGAACTTACTCATCTTTGCATTCCCAGTGCCTGATACAATACAATTTAAAATATTTTTAAAGCCCTAAACTCAGAACCTACTGTATGCTCAGATAGGAAAGGCAAAGGAAGATCTGAACACAAGTGCAGGCCATGTCTAAGAAACCCCGTGGGTGCTACTCTCGGTCAGGGTGGTCCAGGTAGGTTCTGCTTTCATCCTGGCCTTCCAGGTCCTTCAGAAAATCCTCCCTGTTTTTGGCCACCTGCACTTGCACTCAACACTCCCCCGTGTGTGATTCATCACCCCACAGGGTCACGTTAACTGTCGTTTGG